CAGAGGAGTACAGGGTGACTGTGAAGGAGAGCTACTGTAATCTAGAAGAGCTGGACCCGAATAAGTGTTATAAAGTGTGGGTGATGGCGGTGAACTACACAGGCTGCAGCATGCCGAGTGAGAGACTGCCCTTCAGAACCGGTTAGTTACTATGTGCAAATCCCTTCTGACTTGCATGATGTTTGTGAGAGCAAGAGATCATGCTGTGTGGCATAATATATCAATACATAATGAGATGAGACCATGTAAAGCCTCTTTACTAGATCTCTGACATGGAATGTGAATTCCAAAGTGTATGTTTTTCAATCCAGATTGAATATGGAGTGCTCACATTCAGTAAAACAAACTTGTGATTATCTTTTAGTCAGTGTTTGAAAAGTAACTGAGCTCATCGTTTTCTCACTAGCCCCCTCTGTCCCGGTGATCCAGACAGAACAGTGCACAGTGCTGTGGGACACGGCCACGCTGCGTTGGAGCTCAGTTCAGCCCAGTGCTGTAGACTGCTTCACACTGGAGTATTGCCGCCAGTATGCATGCGAGAGAGAGGGACTCAGGTACAGTTACCCAGCCCCCTGTGTACAAGCAGAAACAGCACAAGGGGTCAAGAGAAAACCATCTTTATTCATGTGTTGTTAAATAGTGTTATGGTAATAGTGTTGTGATTGGTCCACTTTCATCTGGTTTTGGAAATGTCACACCCCTTACCATAACTATGGCTGAATTCGATAAACCTCTCATTCACTATTACCTACATTAGCCCTCTAATACTGTTCACTTGAACGAGTGAATGAAAAGGAGTGAGCGAATTTGGACAGCCGTTGAGCGAACATCGGTGTACACTCATTATTGCAGAGCAATCTGGGATTGAATAAGAGCACTTAATAACGCCCACTATGGTTTCAGACACCACTATAAATGACTGTTCCCTCAAATAACGCCTTATTTGAGGGTATACGGGCGATTTCAGATTAAAGGAGAACTCCGGCGCAAAATGAACCTTTGGTCTAATAAAACATTGGTACCTAGTCAACGGTTCTGTGAGATTTGTTTTCATGATAATCGAATGTAAAGAGTTTTATCTCTAAAAACTGTTTAGCGTATAACGCTAGTAATGGGGGCATTTACTAGGTAAAAAAAAATCGCTAGTTTATACCACTAACAAGGCTCAAAATAGCCCCACACTAACACAGTAACATAATGAGGCTCCCTACATGCAAGCCGAAGCACTGAGAACTGTGTAAGTGTACAGACCGTTTAATAAGAAGATACTTTATGAAGACAGTTCACTTCGTGTATAAAGGCAGGAGCCATCTTGGAAAACAGTCTCGACAAGTCGAACCACAAACGCCGATAATTCAGTTCAGAAATTCACTTCATACAGTTCAGCTCACTTAGCACGTAGTTCGTGGTTCGACTAGTCAAGACTGTTTTCCAAACTCCTGTCTGTAAACGCGAAGTGAACTGTCTTTATAACTTATCTTCTTATTAAACAGTCTGTACACTTACAAAGTTCTCAATGCTTCGGTTTGCATGTATGGACCTCATTATGTTACTGTGTTAGTAACATAATGAGGGTCCACACAATCTGTATACCACTGTTTTCACTGTCCAAAAAACGGGCCGATGGCTTCCTTGTTCTATGAAGTCCCTCCTTCAGAAATACGTAACGACTTCTGATTGTGCTAGCGGTTCCTGTGTTGTGATTTGACAGCAGCTTTATTGCACGTTGGCCAGAAAGGTCACGCCTGTTACCATAAATCGACGGAGATGCGTGTGCTGATTATTATTGTGAAAATGTCAAACATATTACCATATCAATTTGATCCTGAATCAGACCCGGAGAACATAGAACCTGTTCAAACACGACTTTTGCAGGATGTTTCACAGTGGTAAGCTGTTTATTTAGTAGTTGTCGTACTTTTAATTGATTAAATTGTAATGTTAATTGTTACAAACTGTTATAAAAGCTTGTGGTATATGTTTTTTTTAGCTGTCGAATTAACGATGGTGTTGCTGAATTTTTAAAATAAGTCCATTGTTTATTCCTACCTTAGTTACACGTGTACATGAGTTTAGATTAGTAATATGTGTTTTATAGGTATTTCTATGGGCGAATATTAGTCAAAAAACTGTTCTAATTATGTCATTACTGAAGGAAGTAGCGGGATGTAGTCCAAACCGGACGTTCCCTGTAGGCTTTGAAAGGGGACTTCTGTTAAATAAAGTATCTCGCTAGGCATTGAACTTTGAGCTTTATAATTTTACAGGTAGTGTTTATGCTCTAACAGCAACATTACACACTAACTAAAGTTTGAAAAATGAAATCGTGAAGAACGGGACCTTGAAAGGAGTGATATTATGATGTATATTTCTGGATGAAACCCCAAGACTGCAATCGAGGCGTTTTAGAGAATTCAGAAACCGTGCTTACTGGTGTAGAAAAGAACTCCCTTTGGAGTGGACTTTGTAACTTTGCAGACTGTTTTTATGCTCAAACAGCAATAAACAGAGAGTAAATAAAGTTGAAAATGTAAAAAAAGCTTAATAAGACTTTAGGCTTTAATCAAAAACATTACCCACCCACCCCCCACCCCCAAACCGAGGAAATACAACCACCCAATCAATTCCCACCCTACATTTTTTGTTTCTTGTTTGAGCCGCCATTTATTTCAGATATTGTCACATTAGGGAAGAAAAATTGGTCACAATTTCCAGTTTATTCTGACTTTATTGGTGAAACGTATATTTAAAATTTTTTTACACCAAACGTCTCCTCTATTGTATTAAATATACTCATTAATTGCCATCACTTAATGTTAATATTTAATGTAGCATATTTCACTAAGAGCTTGTACACTGAATCCATTGAACACAGTTCCCCATGAGTCCTCAAGGGTGCACATCAGAGCATTACAGAGGGTAACACTGCACTTATTAAAAACAGTCTCTCTATACACAGGTCCATATCAGGGATAAAAGGCTATGAGCAGAGGGTCCTCCTTCAGCCCAATGAAAATTACCTCTTCTACATCAAATCAGTGAATGCAGGAGGAGCCAGTGAGCAGAGCGAGGCGGCCCTTATCTCAACCAGAGGTCAGATTCACCGTTATTACATCATCAGTCTGACACATTTGCCTGTTGTTCGGCGAGTATTGATGGATGAAATCCAGTCATTGCAATAGGAATCCATGCAAGTTTTGTGTGAGGCTGAAAGATTTCCCGATTTTTAAAGTTGGTCAGATGAATCCACTGTGTTGATCGACAGAAAGCTGCTTGGTTTGACAGGAGCCGTGTTTCATCCATGACAATGGATGACTTTTTCTTGCCCATGAAAATTCACTAATCTGACAAACACCTTTAGTTAGTTTGACAGCATCACAATTATAGCAAATTTCTTGCATTTTATTTGTGATGTTGTTGTTTTTTGACTAGTGGATGTTGTTATTTGTCAAGGTACAAGGTTCCGCTTCCTCAGTGAAACGGCCAACTCAGTGCTGGAGGTTTCAGAGGACAGGAACTCGGTAGAATACCCACAAGACACCTACAGTAAAATGTCCTCAGTCATAGAGTAAGTACCTCAGTGCAATCTTTATCACCATTACAAATCTACCACTGTAGATACATAGTTTTATCCAGAAAAAAACATCCATTTATTGTTAAATTGCACAACATATGCTGTGCAGCTTTGTAAACCAGCACACATTGTTTTACAGATGTCTTAAGTTGCAGAAAATGCATGTTCTCTTATTTTTGTACTTGTTCCTAGATGTCCAGCTGTTATGGGTGAACTTTTGCCTTCTCTTGGATATTACTACTGGGAGACAGAGGTGTCAAGGTGCAAAGCTTACCGCATCGGTGTCGCATATCAAACTGCATCACTGTCCAGCACACTGGGGGAGAACAGGGCCTCCTGGTGTCTGCACTGTGTACCTACATCTATAAGGTAGACCATTCATGTATTTGTTCATGTGTTTCATTACCACAAAAGGATTAGATTCAAAGGTCATGGAATATCTTTTTGAACAGTAACATTTAAAGGTCTTTCCAGCTGGAAAAAAGTTTAAATAAACAAGCTGGTAAGACATTTGGAGCTGCATTCCAAACTGTGGAAACAATGTTATTAAGGCTTTTTGGCAATCAGGGTGGTACATTCACTTGAGCCTTCAAAAAGATTTAAAAAAAAATCTCATTAAATCGGTTCTCTCATTAAAAAAGTTCTCTGTCTTCCATTAAAAGAACTCGTGTCGTCCCAAGCCTTTAAAGGGTTAGTTCACCCAAAAATGAAAATTAAGTCATTAATTACTCACCCCCATGCTGTACCAACCCCGTAAGACCTTCGTTCGTCTTCGGAACACAAATGAAGATATTTTTGATTAAATTTGAGAGCTGTATAACTACCACATTGGCTCCTAAGGGACTGCCTCTTGACGGCCCAGAAAGTCAATGAAGAAAATGTTTAAATATCCCAAGTGACTACCGTGGCTCAACTATATGTTTATCAAGCGACGCGAATACTTTTTATGCGAAAAAACAAACAAAAATAACGAGTTTATTCGACTATTTCTTTTCTTCCTTGTAGGCCAGAACGAGAATTCCTTAGATTTCCACGACGCATGCGCGAGATTTGCGATCTGCTTACGCCAGCTTACACTACTTCAGATCGCAATTCTCGCGCATGCGTCGTGGAAATCTATAAGGAAGTCTCGTTCTGGCCTACAAGGAAGAAAAGAAATAGTCGAATAAACTCGTTATTTTTGTTTGTTTTTTCGCACAAAAAGTATTTGCGTCGCTTGATAAACATATAGTTGAGCCACGGTAGTCACTTGGGATATTTAAACATTTTCTTCATTGACTTTTTGGGCCGTCAAGAGGCAGTCCCTTAGGAGCCAATGTGGTAGTTATACAGCTCTCAAATTTAATCAAAAATATCTTTATTTGTGTTCCGAAGACGAACGAAGGTCTTACGGGGTTGGTACAGCATGGGGGTGAGTAATTAATGACTTAATTTTCATTTTTGGGTGAACTAACCCTTTAAGACCTCCGTTCATCTTCAAGACACAGTTTAAGATATTTTAGATTTAGTCAGACAGATTCTGTCTCTCCATTGAAAATGTATGTACGGTATACTGTCCTTGTCCAGAAAGGAAATAAAGACATCATCAAAGTAGTCCATGTTTTGAAGCTTCAAAAATACATTTTGGTCCAAAAACAACAAAAACTACAACTTTATTCAGCATTGTATTCTCTTCCGGTTCTGTTGTCAATCCGCATTGACAAGTCCGCAGTGACGCTGATGACGTAAGACGCTGCTGGCATGTATCTGGTGTGTCTGTTCGGTTCAAATAAATGGCTGGGCAAAAAAAAAAAATGCAGGTCTTCTTCTCTGTCAAAATCCTGAGACGTGTTTGCAAAGATTGTTTTGTTTACAGCGTGCGTCTCCCTCAGACTGTAAACGAAGCTCGGGCGCACCAGATACACATCAGCAGTGTCACGGATTGACAACAGAACCGGAAGACAAAACAATGCTGAATAAAGTCGCAGTTTTTGTTATTTTTTGACCAAAATCTACTTTCGATGCTTCAAAAAATTTTTACTAACCCACTGATGTCACATGGACTATTTTGACTTTGTCTTTATTTCCTTTCTGGACAAGGACAGTATATCGTACATACATTTTTAATGGAGGGACAGAATGCACTGTTTGCACATCAGCAACTACGGTCCTGTAAGATCCCAGCCATTGGGAGTACATCTGCACAAAATGTGAGCGCAATAGATGCTTTTCAATGAAACCAAGTTTTTTTAAATTAATGTTTTTTTTTTTTTTATTGACAACACTGTAAAGTGTTGAACTTTAAAGGTAAAATAAGTCATTTTCCCCAAAAGTACCTGTACATCTGAGATAAAGACTGCAGCCATTTTCATGGTCAAGAAAAAAAGCTATTTTATTCTACATAACTCGTGAGGTCACATGATCAAAATTGAATATCAGTAGTGTGCCCATTATCAGACACTTTTGGTTCTGGAATAAATGGATGAAAAAAAAAAAAAAAAAAAAAAATATATATATATATATATATATATATAGCATATATACACCATTCAAAATTGATTTTTTTGTTTTTGAAAGAGGTCTCTCAAGGCTGCATTTATTTGATCAAAAATACGGTACAAACTGTTGTGTTACTGTCATTTATTTCTGTGATGGCAAAACTGAATTTTCAGCATCATTACTCCAGTCTTCACTGTCAAATAATCCTTCAGAAATCATTCTAATACTGTGTGCTGATTTGATCAATGATGCAATTTTTTTTTTTTCAGGATTCTTCAAAGAGTAGAAAGTTCATTATTTGATATATTGAATGTGTTGTATTAACCCATCTTCTCTCCAGCTGCAGATTTGAACTACTCCATGACCGTGTGGAGTCTGACATCTTTGTTGTGGACATTCCAGCCCGGATCGGCACTCTGTTGGACTATAGTCAGGGTCGGCTCTTCTTCTTCAATGCTCAGAACGGGCAGCTCTTGGGCACTTTTCAGCACACCTTCACAGAGCCCTGCCACCCTGTGTTTGTCCTGGAGCAGCCGGGGAATCTAGAGCTGAAGATGACCATGGAGGTGCCGGAGTTTGTTAAGCACTGCTAGTTTACATGACTCAAGTCTCAGTGCTCTGGGTTTGGTTGTATGACAGGAAATGAATCAAGTGAATCTTTCTTAATAGGAAATGAAAACATATTGTGCTGTCATGTGAAAAGTTGCTCAGTTTATTGACATGGTGTGACTAAAGAGATTATGAAAAATGTTACAATTGTGAAAGGAAGGACCGTTTTCGAAGCTGTGCTTTTAAATCCCTCCGGAAACTAGTTTTGTGGAGCTGTTGTTTTTGTATATATATTAAACAGAAAGTGCATGCGACCAGTTTTGTTGCTTGTCATAAATGATGCACCTCTGGATCACATGATGTGCAGACATTTATATTTAGTGTCAGTGTATTTATTTTGGAAGCTACAGGCTTTCAGGTTGTTTGAATAAAACTGATTTTGGCAAGGTTAATAATAGACTTTCATAGCTGAATTCTCCTCGATATATTTCTGTGGCTTAGTTTATTTTCATGATTTGGTAGGAAAAGGTCATTTCCCTTCACTTTCTATTTAAAATTGTTGCTGGATCTCACTTAATCAAAAACTATTAAAGGTAAATGTGCTGTAAAGTGAATAGAATGATTTTAGTTTTCACTTACAATGGATCGTTTGAGTAAGGGTGTATTTTTAACTTATTTATTGTCATTTTTCACTCTGAAAGCTCCACTATCAAGTCAAAATCAACTCTTGCACAAGAGAAAATAAATTGTAGCCATATTTGTTATCTTTAATTGGATTGCACTTTGTTTGGTATCCATTTTGTAAATGATTCTTTCAATTGTTTCAATTTCAGTGCTCTGTTGTTGAATAAGTTAGTAGTGGTATAAATTAGTCTACTTGTATATTTACTGTATTTGTATTTCTGAGAACAACTGGATTGGTTTAAAAGTTTTACCATTAGAAATGTTTTAATGAACAAAGAATATACTGTATGTCATTCAATACCGTTCAAAAGTTTGTTGTCTGTAAGATTTTTTTTGATGTTTTTGAAATGTCTCTTATGTTGAACTTATTTGATCAAAGTTACAGCAAAATCTATAATATTGTCAATTATCCTTACAATTTAAAATAACCGTTTTCTATTTAAATATATATATTAAAATGGCAAAGCAGTCATTACTCCAGTCTTCAATGTCACATGATCCTTCAGAAATCATTTTAATATGTTGATTTGCTGCTCAAGAAACATTTACAGTGCCTTGCGAAAGTATTCGGCCCCCTTGAAATTTTTGACCTTTTGCCACATTTCAGGCTGCAAACATAAAGATATAAAACTTTAATTTTTTGTGAAGAATCAACAACCGGTGGGACACAATCATGAAGTGGAACGAAATTTATTGGATATTTCAAACTTTTTTAACAAATAAAAAACTGAAAACTTGGGCGAGCAAAATTATTCAGCCCCCTTAAGTTAATACTTTGTAGCGCCACCTTTTGCTGCGATTACAGCTGTAAGTCGCTTGGGGTATGTCTCAATCAGTTTTGCACATCGAGAGACTGAAATTTTTGCCCATTCCTCCTTGCAAAACAGTTCGAGCTCAGTGAGGTTGGATGGAGAGCGTTTGTGAACAGCAGTTTTCAGTTCTTTCCACAGATTCTCGATAAAATTAAGGTCTGGACTTTGACTTGGCCATTCTAACACCTGGATATGTTTATTTGTGAACCATTCCATTGTAGATTTTGCTTTATGTTTTGGATCATTGTCTTGTTGGAAGACAAATCTCCGTCCCAGTCTCAGGTCTTTTGCAGACTCCATCAGGTTTTCTTCCAGAATGGTCCTGTATTTGGCTCCATCCATCTTCCCATCAATTTGAACCATTTTCCCTGTCCCTGCTGAAGAAAAGCAGGCCCAAACCATGATGCTGACACCACCATGTTTGACAGTGTGGATGGTGTGTTCAGGGTGATGAGCTGTGTTGCTTTTACGCCAAACATAACGTTTTGCATTGTTGCCAAAAAGTTCGAGCACCTTCTTCCACATGTTTGGTGTGTCTCCCAGGTGGCTTGTGGCAAACTTTAAACGACACTTTTTATGGATCTCTTTAAGAAATGGCATTCTTCTTGCCACTCTTCCATAAAGGCCAGATTTGTGCAGCATACGACCATTGTTGTCCTATGGACAGAGTCTCCCACCTCAGCTGTAGATCTCTGCAGCTCATCCAGAGTGATCATGGGCCTCTTGGCTGCATCTCTGATTAGTCTTCTCCTTGTATGAGCTGAAAGTTTAGAGGGACGGCCAGGTCTTGGTAGATTTGCAGTGGTCTGATACTCCTTCCATTTCAATATTATTGCTTGCACAGTGCTCCTTGGAATGTTTAAAGCTTGGGAAATCTTTCTGTATCCAGATCCAGCTTTAAACTTCTCCACAACAGTATCTCGGACCTGCCTGGTGTGTTCCTTGTTCTTCATGATGCTCTCTGTGCTTTAAACGGACCTCTGAGACTATCACAGAGCAGGTGCATTTATACGGAGACTTTATTACACACAGGATTCTATTTATCATCATTAGTCATTTAGGTCAACATTCAGGATCATTCAGAGATCCTCACTGAACTTCTGGAGAGAGTTTGCTGCACTGAAAGTAAAGGGGCTGAATAATTTTGCTCACCCAATTTTTCAGTTTTTTATTTGTTAAAAAAGTTTGAAATACCCAATAAATTTCGTTCCACTTCATGATTTTGTCCCACCTTTTGTTGATTCTTCACAAAAAATTACAGTTTTACATCTTTATGTTTGCAGCCTGAAATGTGGCAAAAGGTCGAAAAGTTCAAGGGGGCCAAATACTTTTGCAAGGCACTGTATTTTTAGTATCAGTGTTGAAAACAGTTGTGCTGGTAATTTTATTGGGAAAGTGTGAAGTTTTTTTCTTTTCTTTTTCTTGATTAAAAAAAATAAAATTCTAAAGAACAGCATTTATTTGATTGTAAAGATGTATAAATAAAAGTATTTAAAAAAATCATACTGACCCATGTAAATATATATTTGTATGCATTGTATTATTAACCCCTCGCATTTCCAGCTGTATGTCATGGACGAAATTTAAATTTCTTTAATTTGGTAAAGACTGAGGGGATAAGGGACAGCAAATCTCTCGTCCTTTCCATTTCGTTGAGGGAATGTGAATATTTGGGGAGTGGCGCTTCCATCATGTGACATCCAAAAAGCAGGCCTACAGCTGTCTCTCTATTACTGCCACATTTAAATGATAAATGAACGGAAAGTTGTGCAATATGTTAGTATTGTCCAAAATAGCATAAATTAGTTATTAAGTTACATCTGGATGCACTTTCTACAATACAAATTAAAAATGTTGAGGGTTTTACATTTGGTGTAAACAACTAAATGTATCAGCAGAATAAGAGAAACATGTTAACTTGTCTATTTCAAAGAATTTTACTTTCTTGCACTTATATATACATATATTTGAACATTGCTGTACACTCATATATTTCGAAATATACAATTTCTTGAGAGACAATGAATAATGATCACATCAAAAATAAAGTCAGGTGAGATGGCGTGACACAGCACTGGACTTTTAAGGCATTCCTTCCATGTACAAAACCTCCCGAAGAATTTGAAGAACAATAAATGTATACACAGTACACACAATCAGATTTCAAGATCCTTTTGCACCAAAAAATCAAGAACTTCAAGGTTACATAATCAAGTGAGAGAAATGGAAAAATCAGTTCAAATAAGAAAGTTATGCTGAAATGAGGCACAATGCCAATACATGGATGATATATCACCTGCCCTGCCAATCCTAATGTGATTTTAAACAACACTGATGAAATAAAAGCTGAAACGGTCTATAAACCGTAAAGCTTATAATATACCTGTATTTGTGTTTAGGCAGGATTTAGAAAATAAAACACCATAAAACTTATACATAAAGCCTTTGCATTTAGTAAGCAAGCTTGTGCATTAAAAGTTCCCTATACAATTATTATTTGAAGAGAAAGCCAAAAACAGCCAAAAGCAAGAGCAATGCAACTGAAATAAAAGCTACATCTCCTTTAAACAATAACTTTTGTATCGCAAGATATCCATTGTCAGCATTTCCCTTTTTGTAATGTATGTAGTTGCCACATGTGCTAAAAGATTCTTATATACATTAGATGACGACTGCCCATTTAACAAGCCATTTATGGTGTTGTATTACAAAATCCGACACTCAAACCAAGTTAACCAACATTTCAGCAACTTCATTATGAAAAACTAGCATTCATTTATTATGACCTCATCAATGTGTTCGATTTTAAATATGATTTTGAAATTCAATTTCAATGGGAAAAAAATAAATAATGGTAAAGTCAGTGCTTAGATAGGGTTTTCAGGTTGGCCTCCTTTCGCTGGCCATGACCGAGGGTTTGGCCTCATGTCTGTGCGGTCTGTGCTGCGGACTGCTGCGAAGATTGTCATCCATCTATGACAAAGACATGTAAAGATAAGACTCACAGGACAGATGTCAATTCCAAAAGATGTGTAAGATGTTTATAGGTTCTGAGATTCATTACATGACCAAAAGTATGTGGACCCTCTTTTGTTTGTATCTCAGCAGCATTACTAGCAGGTTAATACAATTACAAATACAGCCATACACTAAAAGCAAAACAAAACTATGAAATTTACGATAAAAACAAACATTAGCTGTGCTTGGCATAACTTTACTGTAAAAATATGGTATTAAAATCTTAAGGTCCCATTCAAATGGGAACTCGCACTGCATCCTATATAGGACACTATGGGGAATGCCTCCAGTGTGATCGTGTGTCTGAAGCACACGTTTAAACGCGGCACCATCATTGGCCGATGACAGTCCGTGACGTCCCTAATGGTGTGAAATTAAAGGGCACCTGTATTAGCCATAATCAATTTCTTGTCTTCGGGATCGGTTTGTTTGCGTACGTGTGAATGTGAATTTCATGAATAAACACTCTGCCAAACAATTTTGTCAGGAAGGATGTGTGTCTAATGAGCGAGTCCATGAATGAGGAGTATGCACGTTTAGTTCTCTAGGGAGCTGAATGCACACATTGTGAGGATTTCTCAATGAATATCTCCATTCGCGTCATCCTTAATCTCTTCGGATGTAGGACGTCCTTTTGGGTGGAATGCCTTCGACTCGTAGAGGAGGCTGGAATGTGATGGGTAGAATGCATTTGCAAAAATATCTGCTGAGACAGGTAACGAGATTTGTCTTTCTGTTCTCTCATAAGGGATGGTAGTTAGCATTTGCACAAGATCATTCAGCTCTCGAGGAAGTTGAAGGAACTTACAATGCATTCATGGCTGTTCTCATACGATTCTTTTATAGTGGCAGAATCTGGCATTTTAGCTTAAACAGGCCATTGTTGTGAGGTGGGATAGAAGGCAGAGGTTGTAGGCAGCGCAGGAATCGTTGAATAGGAATATTTGTTGTTTAAGTTCCTCTTTTTAGCTCTGGTACTGCTAATGATTAATTTGATAGATCTACTTCGGAGGAATTGGATGCAGAATTAAAGCAGGGGGCCGCCTACTTAAGAACCCAGAATAGGTGGAGGCAGTTACGATCTTGCAAATATGCTTAAGTTTGCATTTCAGGGAAGCTGTTATTAAAGAATCCGAAACAAAGAAGGCAGTTTCCTCTAGATACATAAAGAAGCCTCCTGCTTCGGGACCCCAATTCTGAATCTGGAGGAGGCAGCTATGACTTCATTACCACAAGGGAGCTGCCTGCTTATCTAACCCCAAATCAGGGGGAAAGCAGCTGCGACTTTGAAACTTACTCTAATCAATAAGGGGGCCGCCTACTAAAGCCCCTTAAAAGGAAGTGGCTGCCCCTAGTTTATCATAAGGGGTTATCATAAGGGAGCTACCCGTTACTTAAGGAAACCCACACAGAGGTGGAAGGCAACTCACCAAACCTTGGAAATAGGTGTAGCTGTAAATGAGCTCAAAAGGTGGAGGCCTCAGTAGAACACCATACTCAACCTCAAAGACAGTTTGCTAGAGCTCAGGTGAACAGATGCCTCAGCAGAACTAAAGTGAGAGGAGGCCAAACAATGCCCACCTTGAAGCCAGCTTACTACAGCAGCCCACCGAGGGCAGACACACTTGATATTGTTGTCTAAATGTAACCTAGAAGAGTGGATGCCTCAGGAGAACAACTCTTTAAAGTGAGAGGAAGCCAAACTACACTCCACCTTAAGTACAGCATATCACAATGGCCCACAGAGTGCCGACACACTTGATGTTTGTCTAAACGGAGGCTCAGATGAGCGGAGGGCCGGAGGCCTCAGAAGAACGAATCTCTAGAATAAAAGAAGGCCAAACCATACTCAACCTTAAAGACAGCTTATTACAGTGCCACACAGAGAGCCAACATATTTGATATCACTGTCCAGATGGATCACAGGAAAATGAAGGCCTCAGTAGAATGACTCTACAGCGAGAGGTGGCCAAACCATACTCAACTTTAAAGACAGCTCACCACAGTGACCCACAGAGAGCCAACACACTTGAAGTCAGCAGCCATTTCACCCTGTAGCCCAAGACTGGTTGCCCAATGAAGCTAAGCAGGGCTGAGCCTGAGCCTGGTTAGTACCTGGATGGGAGACCTTCTGCAAAAACCAGGTTGCTGCTGGAAGAGGCATTAGTGAGGCCAGCAGGGGGTGTTCACCCTGTGGTCTGTGTGGGTCCTAACACCCCAGTGTAGTGACGGGGACACTATACTGTCAAAGAGCACCATCCTTCGGATGAGATGTTAAACCGAGGCCCTGACTCTCTCTGGGCACAAAAAATTCCCAGGATGTCTTTCAAAAGAGTAGGGGTGTAACCCCGGCATCCTGGCCAAATTTGCCCAGTGGCCTGTACATCATGGCCTGCAATAATCCCCCTGTATAGATATACCAATTGGCTTCATCACTGTCTCCTCTCCACCAGTGAGTGTGTGTGGTGGGCGTTCTGGGGCAATATGGCTGCCGTCGCATCATCCAGGTGGATGCTGCACATTGGTGGTGGTTGAGGAGATCCCCCTTCTATGTTAAGCGCTTTGAGTGCAGAGAAAAGTGCTCTATAAATATAATGAATTATTATTATAATTAAGTCACTGTCTAGGTCGACCTCAGGAGAACTGAGGCCACAGCAAAGCACTCTAATTTAAATACTCACAAAGGAGGTGCCTGCTTAAATCCTAGCCTCTGGAGGACACGGCTACAACCTCAGAGAACATTGTGTAAGCCTCCCCCACTCAGGTCCCCCTAAACAGGCAGTTTCCTCATGTGCTCTAGAAATCGATGGCCTGGTTGAGCTTGGGCTAATACTTCTGGGGTTCTGTAAGCAGGTCTTCTGCTCCCAGAAGAGAGCTCGATATGATCCTCAGACTGCAGGGGCTAACGTGGAGTGTACCCTCCCCATTACTGGGATACCTTCTCTTTGAGTCCTCTATGCTCTGTTCCAGCTCAGGCAGACTTCGGAGACTCTAGCACAGCTGACACTAATGCAGCTGTTTACTATTGTCCTCTGGTAGGTGTAGTTCACCATTCCATTATGGGGTTTCTTTATTAGGGTCTATCGCCCCTGACTGGTTCAACTCCAGGTGAAGTTGGGGATCACAGTCTTGGGTGAGCATTGGACACACCTCACTCTGAGAGTCATCCTGCTGAATCCTCAGCTCCCCAGAGGAACGCATCTCTGAGCCCTGGTGAGAAGTGGTTTTGAGAAGATAGCATCCCTTCTCATTGTTTGAGCACCCTTAAATTCAGGAGTGCTGAATTTAAGATCCTGACTCTAGGTCAGACAGGATTGGTCCATTGAGACCTCATTTGTGCCTCATTGTGCTTGTCACAGCTAATTAGGCAGTCATATCTCTCCATTGCGGAGTGGACATTTGTTCCCCATAGAGTTCCCATTCGAAAGGGAATGTCTCAGGTTATGCATGTAACCATGGTTCCCTGAGAAGGGGAACGAGACACTGTGTCTCACTGCCATGCATCAGGCCAGCATGTCTATGTCTCCTTCAGACAAAAATTGGATGTTGTCTAATACAGGTGCTCTTTTATGTACACAGTTCCATAGTTAGTGACACCATGGATTGCCGTCGGCAAATGACATTATCTTGTTTAAACACATGCTTCAGATACCAGTCGCGTTTGAGGCATTCCCTATAGTCTCCTAGAGGACACAGTGTCTCGTTCCTCTTCTCAGGGAACCATAAATGGATAACCAGAGACATTTTACAGACTCAACATACTGAAAAAAAAAAATATATATATATATATATATATACTCTCTCTCTATATATATATATATATATATATATATTTCCTTAGCTAAAACAATCTTAGTTCACCCAAAAATTTTAATTGTGTCATTTACTCACCCTGAAGTGTTTCCAAACCTGCTCCAAAGAAGATATTTTGAAGAATACTATGGAAGTCAATGGGGCCCCATCATCTATTTGGTTAACCATATTCTTCAAAATATCTTCTTTTGTGTTCTGCAGAAGAAAGAACTTCATACTGGTTTGGAACATCTTGAGGATTAGTAAATGATGACAGAATTGTTCGGTCATTGGCAATTGGTAAACTCTCCATTTAATATAGCAAAATACTAAAAACTTTTTTTCTACCTTTATAATATGCAGACAAACACCTTAAAGACAGTGGTAAAGCGAAATATATATGATGAATCAATATTCATCACAAGCAACTTTTCTACAAATCAACATCATGGGATCATAAGATGCAACAACCCTAATGATATATAAATAACTGATAAGAAAAAAAAAACTAACCTTTTCACCAGAATGCTGAATGACTTAGTGTTTCAGCATGAAATGCCCCTGTGTAAAGAGCAATTGAATAAACTGTTCTAGTTGGACATCTCTGACTGGCCTGGGTTAGTCCTGAACCCCATTGAACACCTTTAGGATGAACTGGGACATCAACTGTGAGCCAGACCACATCACTCAATATTTGTGTCTGACATCACTTATGCTCTTATTTATAAAACTCCAAATAGGAGAAAATACCAACATGCATGTTTCAATATATACTGGAAAAACTGTTTGGGCATCCACATACTTTTGACCATGTACTGTAATTTCTAATGACATTAAATTCAGAAGTGAATGCGCAGATCTAGCCAAGACCTTTTCAATAAGGTTGGACTCTTTGTTAACAAGCTGTGTCAGTTTTTGGAGGTTTGCATCAACAGGATCATGGGTAGCCATTGGTGAACCTAGCAAGAGGGCAGAGATAAAGAAAAGACGAAAGGACACTGATTCTGGAGAAAAGTGGATGTTTTTTACGCACATGGGAGAAAGATTAGTAGAATCAGAGTGTAGCCAAAGAGACATAGCAAATCACTTAAAAAAGCAGCGAGGTCCAAGACCATGCTTTTATTAAACTGTCTTTTAGCATCTGCTTTGAGCCAAATGTCTCGGGTTGAAAGCAATGGAAAGGTGATGAATAATGAATGTCGGGTTAAATGATTTAATTCTATATGATTCAACAGCAAACAAATGGAAGTTGAGATAAACTAATTTATCTCAAAGAAGAAGAAAGAGCAGAGCAGGACCAATATTTATTATTTTTTTGTAATTAATATAGTACTATAGGGGCTGTGACTACTTACAGTCCATTCTCTTCTCAGTGGTGGCATCAGTAAAGTACTTTTTAAGGATGGTGTTGCAGAACTGGCAGAGGTTATCAAGTTGGTTCAGGTGCTTCTGAAGCTGCCCACTGGGCAGAGGGGCTTTAATAAGAGGGGCAATGTGGCCAAATACAAAGGCGTCCAGGCTTGTAGGCCTAGCAAAAAGAAAACATGGTGACACGCAAAGATGATTACACTAATATATACACTACTGTACGAAAGTTTGGGGTCAATAGAATTTTTATGTTTTCAAAACCAAAAATACAGTAAAAACAGTTATATTTTGTGTGGCGAGCGGGACGAGGCCAGGGGTAGTGGGAGAACGACGCAAGGCCAGTGGCGTGATTGATGATGAGCGACACCTGCGCGACGCACCAGTCTCATATCTCGCGAGGAGAAGTGGAAGCATAAAGGAGGAGCGACGACAGAGGAGATCGCCAGAGGCCAGGCCTGGACTATTTTATTTAATGTTTTGTTTTATTGTGTGTGTCGGCAGTTGACCATGAGGGACTACCGTCTTTACGTTCGTTTTTGTATTTGTTTATTTATTTATTATTAAAATTGTTGAATGTTCGCCAGTTCCTGCCTCCTTCTTCCTACAACATCTAACCTCATTACACTGTGAAATATTATTACAATTCAAAATAATTGTTTTGTAGGTCATTGACTTCCAACACCATAACACTAAAGGCCCCAATTTACTGTGACGTCATTTCAAACAAAATCCGGCCAAAACGAAGTTAATTTGGAGTTTGTTTCAGGAGTTCAAAACAGCTTGCCGAATTGAACTTTCTGGAAAAGTTCTCTGGTTTAATATAGTATTGGTCCTTGGTGATTACATAGTAGGTAGGTGTGGATCTGAGGCTGAAGGCGTGGATCATAGTAGAAGGCGGTCTTTTGTGTGGAAATCTTCGCTTAATTTCTTCTGTTCAGTCTGTCACGGACCACGTTCAGACACAAGTTAAAATATGAGTACACTTGAGAGCTGCTTTATAGTAGAAATTTAATTCCTATTTTAATTGAAAGCAAAACTGACACTGTTTTTCATGTTTAAAGGGGTCTTATTATGCTATTTAACTTTTTCAACTTTAGTTAGTGAGTAATGTTGCTGTTTGAGCATAAAAATAGATTTAAAAAAAGGTTACAAAGCTCAAAGTCCACTCCAAAGGGAGATATTTTGTTGAACAGAATACACTTTCCAAGAACTACAATGAACGACTCATTTTGACTACAGCGCTTTTTTTCCGGAATTAATTAAGTCACAATGTTCCTCATATAAATAATCTCAGCCCAAGGAATACATAAAAAGGGGACAAGGCATGGTTGAGCTGTGTTAGAGAAGACAGTGTTGTCGGCATGTCAAAGAGATCCTGTTCTTTCCACCCTGTTTCCAAAAATCATCAGTTTGACCTTCAAATTTTGACCTTCAAATTTATTTTAAACACTGCACCTGAACATTATAACCCCAACTTTTATCTGTGTGCTGCACATTTTACGGATCGGTTGCTTGTGGATGACAACTTGTAAGTATGTCTAATTATTTAAAGTTGTGTTTTTATTAACAGTTCCAATTATAAGTTTAATGTTGTTGCCTCAGTGTAAAAAAAAAAAAGGGCAAAAAGGTTTGGCTCCACTTGCCTGATAGCCAACATTAGTGTTGCTTTTCTGTTTACTTTAGCTTTAGTAAGTGCTTGCTTTTGTAAGACTGTTCACTGGACCTTAGGAAAATGAATCATGGTTTTGTTTGTTACCATTCAGTCTGAATCAAGCTCGAATTGGTTTGAAACTGACACCATCCTTGATATTTACATCTGAGTAGAGCTTGCGGTTCTGAAGGGGAGTGACATTTCCCGAACACAATCACAACACATCGGGCCAGCTAACCAATCACAGCACATTTCATATTTTGGAAGGAGGGGCTTAATCGAAACGGGACTGACTGGGAAAAGAGGTGCTGTAGTAATGTAATATGTGTGAAAAATAATATGTGTTTTTTAACAATCAAGCATGAAAGCATATTCTAGTACACCCCAAAAACAAAATCAAGACTTTGTGAAAGGGCATAATGTGCCTTTAGTACTGCCAAGCTGCTTTCTTTAAAGCAATTTATTATATAGTGCTTTAAAAAATAAACATGACATTACTGACCAAATTGCAGAGCACGTGCAAACACACCTACATCGCTCGCTATAATCGGATGTTTTCTTAACAGCTGTCTTCTAACCACTGTGAGTTTTGCTATGCGTTTATTTTGTTATAAAGAGAAAAGCATGGAACACATATTAACATTTTCATCTAAACGCCGCTCTAATCAGCATCAGGATGTTTACTAATGATACAACGCTGCTCAGGTATTTTGAACTTCTTTTTTTTACCTCTAAGCGAAGATTGAAAAAGAACTTAGCTGTGAGTAAATCAGGGCCTTAAAGGTTCTCTAAGCGATCCTGGGTGTTGACGTTCGGAATATTTTCAAACAAATCGGAGCTAGACCCTCCCTCCTCCGCAACTCATCTCCTCTCCTCCCCCTCCCTTCCGTGCTTCCTGAAATAATTGTGAACGTGCATAGTTCTAGCTAATTATATCCTTGTGTGGGTTTGGCGAACATAAGCGTCAATTTAGAAGAAAAAAAACTATTTAACGTTACCCACCTGTCCAGCAAAAACAGAGCAACCTGAATGTCGGACTGGAAGCCCTTCTGCCGCCGGAGTTCTCGCCATCGTTCAAAAGCTTTGCTACCGATGTAAATTCGGAACTTCGCACGTTCTTTATCCGACTCCTTCTTCTTTTTAATTTGTTCTTCAGAACGACGTCTCTTTGGTCGTGTCGGCCATTTTTCAAACTTCCATCTGATGCTTCTATCTCCTTCACACACACACACCCTTCATGTGCACGCGCACTAACCCCCCAGACCCACCCTCAAATCCTTCTTGCCAGTGATTGGTTGGAACACTGTTTGTTAGGTTTCGTGGTCCGGGTGAGACATGATTGTTTTTGTTGCCGTTTTCGGAGCCTGTGGTGTCTACAGAGACCGCGTTTTTTTACAGTGTGTTTAGGGGACAGGCAGCTAGCCGATAGTGAGGAGACGTTTGATGTATGTGACAAAAAATGTTTTGGCCCAGCATCGCTTATAGAACCTTTAAGACATTTCCCAAAATACCTTCTTTTATGTTCCATGAAAGAAAGTCATACAGTAACAAAGAAAGCCGAGTAAATTTTGACAATTTTCATGTTTGAGTGAACTATCCCTTTAAAGAGCTAATAAATATTATAGGATAAAAGAAATGAAAAACTCACGTGTCTCCAAAGAAGAAGCGTAAGTTCCCAAGTCTGTGGGAAAGCAGATTCAGGCACTCTTTGGCTTCACTGTAGATCTAAAAGAAAATCTATTGCTAATCATGCAATTTTTATATTCATTATTATGAGGGATGGAACAACTACAATAGCACATTCATTGTGTAACATATTTCATGATCCTCTGGTTTCTACAATCCACAGATTTGCTCATGAGGCCTGAGAGAAACTCTTTTCCATCTCACAACGCAACCACAGACATTTCCATTTCACCAAGGCATTGAAAAGCGATAAATGAATCCAAAGCTATGCATGAGCCTCAGTAACTGAGGTAAGAATTATGATCATACACAAGTATGGATCTGTATTCGCATACCTTTCCCTCCACCTCTGTGATGTTCAGCAATGGCGACTCTGCTTTGGTCAGTAAGATGCGAGACAAGGCCAAATTGGCCTGTCGACCCGGAACAAAGAAGTTGAGAGGGAACGGGGAATGTGACGTAAACCACGGCCGGGTCAGGTTAGCATAGTTCTCTGCGTCCACCCAGAATGTGTGGAGCTACAAATTAAAAACACAAATCAACACTTTAATTTATACAATCATCATTATGAGGACCTGCAATTTTAAATCAGTATGTGAATTGCCGATAAAATACCAGTGCTGGCAGCAGCTTTTCCTCCAGTAATGCGATGTAAGCCATTGTATCTGCCCCTTGCTTAGCGGTCAACTCATAGTCGGCATTGAAACTCTGTGTGGATTACGGGAAAATTTTATTTTTTACTGCTCACCTTCAGTATAATTATTAACTTATTATAATTGTATTTACACCTTTATTAAAAGATTTCGAATGGTGTCACAATACTATGCATTATTTGTTTACCCCCCCCCCCCTCCCCCTGTTTTTGTTAATTGTTATCTGGGTGGGGGGAGGATGTATATGCTGATACTTTGTATAATTTACACTTACATATAGTATATTCCAATATATCTTTGCAAAAAAAGTTGGCTTTCTGGTAAACTCTTGTACATTTTTGAATGTCCAAATATAGACAATAAACTAGCAATAATCAGATATAAATTGAAATAATTATTTTATATTCATGATTGTATTAGGTAAAGTATTAGTTCATCTGCGACAATGACAAACAGTAAAATATCCCCACTTATGTTACACAAAAAGAAGCAAATCTGTAAACAGATATGAATTTCTACCTGTTTTCGAAGGAAGTTTAGAATTTGTGTTGGTTCTGTGACTGTGGATCCCTCATAATATAGTCGTGGCACAGATGCTGTGGAAAGAGAAATGTGACAGCCGCAGCATTAGAAAAAGCTGCTAACCCCTTTACACACTTCACCAATGTTTGGCATTCACAATATTACATTTGGAAAACTACGGATGCACGTGGCTACATTCCAGACTTACCCTACATTAAACTCTCACACCATGACTACAAAAAAATCCTTTATCTGACCTGTAATAGTCCTCCACGTCCAGTCAACAGACTTTACCGCAAGCTCTGCCCCAGCAAACTTTGCATACGCCTATAAAAGAACATTAAAAACATGTCAGATGAATAGATGACTGATTTACAGTTTTCATTATCATTTACAACTCTAGTGGAACTAGGACTTTTATTATGCATTTTTGCAAAGTGTTAGAACACAGGATTTAAGCAGCTGCAAAAACAAACAAGAAAAGCTGTATACCTACTCCAGCACAAAACAGAAGCACTGTATTATCTCTATTCTAAGTAAAAAGCGAGTAAAAAATACCCCATACCCTTCAGATCTTATCAGCATTATTCCTCTGACCTTCAAGAAATAAAAACCGGAGCTGGTCGACACATAATAGCTATCATCAACCACTCAAAACAATGCAATGCAGTGCAATGCAATTCAGTCGAGATCATTTCTGCATGACAGCTACGGTTGCATCAGTATAAAACTGAACTAGCGTATTAGCGACAATTTCACTTATCAAAGTGACTTGTCAGTGCTGGATTGCTATCCGGACCCTAGGACAGGACAGGTTTCTCCAAAAAGGCATCGTCATTTATGGTTAAATATTGAATTGTGAAAATGTATTTAAAACAAGCGTTAACATAACCCGTGTAGTTACCAGCACAACGAGGCAGTCTGTGTGCACTGACGGCAGATCCCAGTCGCCTCCCCAGCAGAGCAGCTGCAGCTCGTTGGGTTCCGCCATGTTTGTGTGCAGTATGATAGCATCCCAGGGTGCTAGGTGACAACTTTCACCCTGCAAATGTTGGATGAAAAACATTTATGGATCGTGGAAACCGAAACAGTTGGACTGACTTCCTTATAAACAACAATAAATAAATAATTTTATTATTATTTTTTTTATTTTATTTTTTTTTCCATTTTTTTTAAATTAAAATAAATATAGAGATAAAGTCTCATACAAGAGAAATATGTGAAAAACATCTAGGTAAATATTTCTTGTGAACAGCATATGTTTATTTTGCACCCTTAAATCAAAATGTAATTTTGTAAAATTATAATGCAAGAAAAAAAAAGATTGAATATAATTTTTTTGCAAATTTAGGCTAAGCTAAACTGGAGGAGTTACATGAATCACAAAACTATTGTATAGTCGAGAGTATACTTTTTTTTTTTTTTTTAGTCAGCATGAAATGGAAGTTGGCTTCTTGAACATAAAAAATGTAGGTAAGTTCTTGATTGGATCATTGTGGTTTGCTATGTGATCTCATTCGGGGGAAACCATATTCTTCAAAATATTTTCTTTTGTGTTCAGCAGAAGAATGAAATTCATACATGTTTGGAGCAACTTGAGGGTGAGAATATTATGACAGAATCTTTGGATGAAATATGGGTGAACTTTAAAGTATGCCATGATTTTCATTTCCAATGAATTGGGATCACTCTACGAGACCAATTGCCAGTGCAGGTATAATGCAGAAGCGAGCACACACACATATGCTTTTGGCCTCGGAGCCAACCGTTTGTGTCCTCTGTGTGGATGAGCTTCAAGATTAGTAATTTATCTTCACGCTCAAGTCTGCTGTTTTCTCCGAGACCTGTCTGTGTTGTTGTGATGTATTATTGTATTATTACCAGGCTAACACTTCACATCAATTGCCTAGAGTTGCAAGCAGTATGCTTTGTGCCGCCTCAAGGGGCTGCTTCTGCACAAGCACTGGTCTGTAGCATATATAAGTGCTCCAATTGTATGTAAAAATAGTGGACCAGTATCAGAAAATCTTTGTTCAGCTCAAGGAGGAAAAGGTTAAGTTCAATGAAACACATACTCATTGCTTCAGTGCAATTGTGAATTGTATTACATAAATATAGGACAATAACATTTACAATATTTACACGTGCACAGGTAGTATTCAGTTCAAAGTTATTAATGAGCCAGGGCCGGCCCGAGGCATAAGCGAACTAAGCGGCTGCTTGGGGCCCCCTGGCCACCAGGGGGCCCCCTAATCGAGGTTATTTTTTATTTTTATTTTTTTAGATGACTTAAACAAGTGACATAAATCAATGAATGAATGAATATGACTGAATGAATAGTTTAAGACAACAAAATTCTGATTTAATGGTCAATATACCTGCCTACAAGTTACAACTGCTGCTCTGTCTGCCAGCGTTTAAGTCATACGCATAATCTTCTAGACACCTCGCGCGTGCATAGACAATTCGTGCGCAACTGCGCCTAGTCACGGTATCGGTTTAAGTTGGAGAAAATAGCCCGCAGGAGAACTTATCCTTCAAGGTGTAAGGGTAGCAGTTTGAATAAATAATAAACATAGCAGTTTGAAGTTTGAACTCTTCTCCACTTTATTATACCACACATCAGATCTCCAAACACCCGCGACACTCCAGTAGCCTAGCAAGTGCGCACAACCCATCTACGGCAAGCCCCGAGGGGAAAAATACATTGCATACACACATACAACGAGCGCCAGAACATCATAACCGGTATTATAGTAACAGACTGTGATGATTATGTCATGTACTATATAACAAAGTCTGTTACAATAATAATAATAACAATAATAAAGATTTTGAGGATAGTTACTCTGTATTGAGACAGTTGAGAAATAGGCTAGTAATATTTTTAGTTTTCAACAATAGCTGAGACCCAGAAAGTTTTTTTTTTTTTTTTAATTTAGTTTTTTTTCATGTTATCACATTGTTTAGAGCATAATAAACAAATGGTTAAAAAAAACCTTTTTGAAAAATTATATTTTATTCATAATGTAATACTTTGTCCTCTGTAGTGGACACCAGGACTCAGTTGTTAAAATTAAATGACATACAATGTGTAGGCAAAAACAATGGGATTTTTTTTTCCAATCACCAATACATTTTGGGGTTTCAGGATTTTTTTGAACTAAAATTTGTATAAAGATGATTATCAACTATGTTATGAAAGATATAATGGAATTAATTGATAGACCAATTTACTTTATGCAATATATGGGTAAAATTGGCATAAATTAATATTCCCATTCAATGCAAAGTATCTATACACTGTATCTAATTTGCACATTAATGTGTTCTTGGAGCAACATTTAATGAGGAAAGAAGTGTAAGCATTGGCGTAATAATAAGCAACATTTTAATAATAATATCTAATATGTCATAAGAATATTGACGTATAATTTATTTACATATTCACTTGTTATGTCTCCCAGAATGCCTGATAAACATGATTTATGTCCTGATGTTCTCTACAGTGGACATGAATGAAATCAATGCCCTGTAACGGAAAGTCATTTTTTTCATTTGAAACCCCATAACATTTTCATGAGATGTTGGTTGATGAAATACAATTTGAAAAGTAGTTAGATTTAAATTATAATTACAATATATTACCATATTTCAATAAGAGTGCTACATTTGATCACTAAATTAATGTTAGACATTTTTAAAGACCAAGGAGAAGTTGTTTTCATGGTGAAACCTCCAAACATTTGGTATCTCTGTATTGCCCTGAATGTGCTCTTTACAGGACATCCAGGAAAAAAAATGTGCCATGCATGGTGTCAGAGAAATACACTAAAATATAATGTCCACTACAGTGGACAAAAGTCTATTCCTGGGTCCCAGGAGGATAGGCCAAAGTATCATTGCTCTTATGTTTCTAATTTCTCAGTTTTGTCATAATTTTAGCAAATAATTTATTGTATATGTTTTGAGACAGTTTTAAGACTGTTTTCAAACTTTTTTATTTAAGTAGGCATCTATTTTTTTATTAATACATAACCTCAGTGTATTCATTTATAATGTATCATTTTTGCGTGACATTTATGTCAATAATCGTCAAACACAGGTGACTCCGCGTCGTGGGAGGGGCCCCCAAATCAAATTCTGCTTAGGGCCCCCAAAAGGCTCGGGCCGGCGCTGAATGAGCATACAACATTCAGCATTCACTCAATAAGCAGTGCTTGAAGCCACAGCAGTTCACAACACACAACCCAACAGGCAGAGTCCAATGACTCCATAATGGAACGGTCCATGAGATTAATAAGTATGTAAATGTAAGTATTGTCTGAAGGAGTGTGCAGGTGTAAATGTCCAAAGGTGTGTGCAGGTATATCAAATAAGCAGCTGCAGCGCCTCCTACCACACCGGCAGATGCATGCACTCAAAACATCAGTTTCAGCATCACTATCCATACACAGAACCTGGCCTGTACAAACAGGACCAACTAATTAACAATGGTTCCAAGCATAATCATAACACCATAAAGTCGTCATATTATCACAATCATATTCTCAGTTCATTCATTTTATCAAATACATGATTCAATTTAAATACTGCATATAGCAATATATATCATTTAACAATCAGCAAGAGTACTCCTATAAATAGACAATATTATCAATAATAGCTTCAAAATAAATCTCAAAATCAAAGAGTAATTGAAAACTTCATGATTCAACATCAATATTAAAGGGTTAGTTCACCCAAAAATGAAAATTAAGTCATTAATTACTCACCCCCATGCTGTACCAACCCCGTAAGACCTTCGTTCATCTTCGGAACACAAATAAAGATATTTTTGATTGAATCTGAGAGCTGGATCACTTTTCCATAGACAGCCTGAGGGACTGCCTCTTGACGGCCCAGAAAGTCATTAAAAGAAAAGGTTTAAATTTTCCATGTGCCTACAGTGGCTCAACTATAACTTTATCAAGCGACGAGACTACTTTTTGTGCAAAAAAAAAACGTAAATAACGACTTTATTCGACTTTCCATTACTTCCTTATGGGCGCATGCGCGAGAACTGAGACGAGACCGTTCTTCTTCGACTACTTTTTGTTACCGGCTGCTCACCGCTTAGGAGTTTTACCGCCCCCTACCGTATAAGATGACGTACTGATATAGCCGGAGGCGCAAAACGTTCTGTTTACAAGCAGTACGTCATCTTATACGGTAGGGGCGGTAAAACTCCTAAGCGGTGAGCAGCCGGTAACAAAAAGTAGTCGAAGAAGAACGGTCTCGTCTCAGTTCTCGCGCATGCGCCCATAAGGAAGTAATGGAAAGTCGAATAAAGTCGTTATTTACGTTTTTTTTCGCACAAAAAGTAGTCTCGTCGCTTGATAAAGTTATAGTTGAGCCACTGTAGGCACATGGAATATTTAAACCTTTTCTTTTAATGACTTTCTGGGCCGTCAAGAGGCAGTCCCTCAGGCTGTCTATGGAAAAGTGATCCAGCTCTCAGATTCAATCAAAAATATCTTTATTTGTGTTCCGAAGATGAACGAAGGTCTTACGGGGTTGGTACAGCATGGGGGTGAGTAATTAATGACTTAATTTTCATTTTTGGGTGAACTAACCCTTTAAGATTAAAATGCATTGTTCATAAAAATAGGCACAATTTATAGTCATAAATTCAGTACAAATAAACAAATTCAGCCAGCGCCAGCTCCGTGGAGAATGGTGACTCCATCCCCAGGTGGTTCAGCTGATAGGGGGAATCTTCAAAGCCACTCAGATAGATCTGTTTGCCTCTCCGGACACGACCCATTGCCAGTTGTTTTATTCCGGGGGATCCCTTGGAACGGATGCACTGGCACACAGCTGGCCTCGGGGCCTTCGCAAATATGCGCTTTCCCCAGTGAGCCTTCTCGCTCAGACACTGTCCAAAGAGGAGCAGTTCTTGCTAATTGTGCCATATTGGCCCAACAGGACCTGGTTCCCAGGATTATGCTCCTCGCGACAGCACCTCCTTGGC